GCGGGGATGCTTGGGTGTCGGCCCAGGAGCCCTCGGAGCCCCTGTCGCAGGGGCAGGGGACACACCTGTGCTCGGGGTCCTGCCTGACCTGCGGGGGCGGGGTGGTCGGGCGCCCGGGAGGTCCGCGTTGGATCTGCCGGCCCTCGAAAGGGTTTACGTTGGGATGAAGTGTAGGTTTTACGCCGATTCTGTGGGAACCAATTCTGCCTTTAAAAGTGAGACTCCCTGTACACCGGTTTTCAGTGGGGTCGGGAGCTGCAGCAGCGTCTGCACCGGCCGTGTGCTGCTGGAAATGTAATCCCAGGGCCCCCAAACCTAGCAATGTAACCCCCAGGGCCCCCAAACCTAGCAATGTAACCCCCAGGGCCCCCAAACCTAGCAATGTAACCCCCAGGACCCCCAAACCTAGAAATGTAACCCCCAGGACCCCCAAACCTAGAAATGTAACCCCCAGGGCCCCCAAACCTAGAAATGTAACCCCCAGGACCCCCAAACCTAGAAATGAACCCCCAGGGCCCCCAAACCTAGCAATGTAACCCCCAGGGCCCCCAAACCTAGCAATGTAACCCCCAGGACCCCCAAACCTAGCAATGTAACCCCCAGGGCCCCCAAACCTAGAAATGAACCCCCAGGGCCCCCAAACCCACCGAATGAGCAGCCGGGGCCGGGGCTGCCCAGCCGGGTTTGAACAGGCCCCTCCGGGTGAATCCGCCTGCTGAAGGGAGCTGAACCTCCTGTGTTCCTCATCTCACAGTATTTGTAAATCAGGCCACCGTGCCATAATCTTAAACAGTGATGCATGTTAATCATTTCTCAATAAAACGGGGGGAAATTAGAGATCTAGAACTTAAAAGGTCCTTGTGACCTACCCAGCAGCAGCCCTCATTCGAAGAAGATGCCGAGTCTCCGTCTAACTGGGAGAAACCTGTGCGTCTCCTGGAGCTGCAGCTTCGACCCTCACCAAGGTGAACTAGGCCTTTCCGCTCTGAACACGCAACAGTTTAAATTAGGCTGAAGCCCACCTTCAGTGTGCGCGTGTGTGTTTTCTATAAATTATCTCTCGAAAGAAAATGTTCATTTTCAAAACATGCCAAGACCACGAAGAATAGGCGTGTTAAATTCAAACTGGAAAACAGAATTGCAGCTATCCTTTTAAATACAGTGGTGTTTTTTTTAATGGAGTATGTCAAACAATTTCGAGAGGGTTTTGTATGTTAGGTTTTAGCAGACTAGGGCAGAGAGGAAGATGTCAGTGTCAGGACCCTGTAAGACCCTAGGCGGAGGCCTTGGTGAATCAGAAGTTAGGACGGAACCTATTTGGTAGAGTCTATGAAGATAATCCAACATGAATCTATAAAAATGAACGTTGGCCCGTGTGCATCTTAGTTTATGCAGAAACAAAGAGCACGACTGGGCCTCCGTAGATGAGACGGGCACCTTGAGTCTATTTCCAGGGGCAGAAATGGTTTGGCCTTGAACCATCCACAGGCTGAGCCAACCCTGGTGACCAACAGCTGGTGGTATTTGGGATACGGTTTAAAGAGCGTGGTTATCTTGGAAATAGAATTTTCTCAGTTATTAGCAACAAGTACCAAAGGAAACAAAAATCCAGTGTCCAGTGAAGGCCAGCGTCCTTAGACCGTTTGGAGGAGAGTTAGGTGAAGGGGGGGGTAGATGTTCCCCAAGTGAAGATGCCATAGTGGCTCTCACTACAATGCTTGTGGATATCAAGGTTAGGTTCTTCTTACTTGCCTTTTGGGTAATTATTGTTTTAAGAATTTTATCGACATTCCTTTAGAATGTAAATTTGTCTTGTCTCTTACATGCACTGACCAATACTTAGAAGACTGTATAATTTTTTAAAACAGTGAACCTAGTACAAACTTCCAGCTATAAAATAAATATTAGGGATGCAACGTGCAACATGATGGCCATAGCTAACGCTGCTATTCGATGAATAGGAAAGTTATTAAGAGAGTAAATCTTAAGAGTTCTCATCGTGAGGAAAACTTCCCTCTTACTCTTTTTATTATCTATATGAGAAAATTAATGTTAGCTGAACGTACCGTGTCAGTCATCTCACATCTATGTAAATCAAGCCACCATGCTGTACTTAAACTTACACAGGGGTGTATGTTAATCATTTCTCAATAAAAGGGGGGAAAAAATTAGGGAAGCTCACTGAACCTAACACAGATACACTCACAATGGTAATTTTCAGAAAAGATAAAAGTGTAAGAACAGGTTTGTGCAATATGCTGGATTTCAGAGAATTATATGACTTCCTGTCGCACCCATCAGTCATTCAATACGTATTATTCACACTATGACTGGCCAGTTGTTTGAGATTCATACATTCACAAAATGGGTGAAAGTCCCAGTGGCGGAGGAGGTAAAAGATCGTAGAGATCTTAAAACAAGGGCATGGCCACCCTTGGTGTGTGTCACTATTTGGTGGGGATATAGTGTCAGCTTCCTATGTGAAAAAATATGCTGGATTCTGAGCAATACTAGGCCACAAAAATCACAGGAGAGAGTCATGCAGAGGGAGGAGTGTTGCATGGTGTAACAAGATGGACTTCAGTTATCCGCACCACCTGTGTGACCTTGGCTACATCCTTTCAGTAGGAGGTAAAAATGTCTATTACAGTTTGGTAGCATTGAAAGAGATGATACCTTAAAATCCCTGGTTCATGGCAAATAGTAGTCATTCGATAGGTTAAAGGCAATATTCACTTATTTAACACTCATTCATCTCTAATTTAAGCATGCTATTTATATTTGTTTTATAATTCTTTTTTTTTTTTAGTAGATGAGTGAACACATCAAAATGAAATCACCTTTTCAGGTCACATAACCAATCGAGAGGCAGAACTGGGTTCACGGTCAGGTCTAGTAACTGCAGTCGAGCCTCTTTGTCCCACGTCACACAGCAGACCCTCGTTCTCCTCACCCCCTTCTCACTCTCCCAGTCGGGGAGAGGAAATAGGAAACTTCGCTTGGTGAGCATGGCTCTTGTTGTCCCCTCATCTTCATCTACTCATCTCTTTGTTCAGTGGTCATGCCACCCACCCATACCACCATCTTCAGAAGGTCAGGGCCCGTTCATCGCGACTGCCCCAGGCTCCTTTCCTGCTCCTGGATGATGCCAGCATCTGACCCCCTTACAGCCTGGTGGCATTCCCTCATGTTCCCCAGCCCACCTCCACTCCCTCCTCCACTGTGCTTCCTTCTCTCCTACTTCCAGTTACATTCATTTTATATCACGAAGGTCTCTTTGCCACATTTAGAAAAAATAATCTATTGTATAAAATAAACTTTGCACTTTAA